AGGATGCGTATACGTATTTGCAGACAGAAACGGACAGAATGCGTGTACGCATTTGCTGACAGAAATGGACAGGATGCGTATACGCATTTGCAGACAGAAACGGATAGAAATCGCAGTTGTCCATCCATTTTTGCGGACAGAAACCGATAGATTGTGAACACAATCTATCTGCATTTATCCGTAATTGCAGATTAAGAAACGCATAGTAAAGCAGACAGAAACGGATAGGATGCATTTTCTGTCTGTTTTTGTCCGCAATTTTTACCAGGGTTACGTAAGTTTGTACTACAATTTTATTACAGTTATCCGCTCAGACCTTTACAATACCAAATACAGTAACCTTCCTGTCTAAAAAAAGGTATTAAGTCGAACTCGGAATGTATCGTTGTTCTCGAAGATATGTTTGACTCTTTTCCGCGATGATAATTGATTCTTTCACTGCGCTAACTTCGTGAACGGCTGTCATTGCATTGACTTTTGACAATTGTATGTATTGAGATTGATGTAGAATTATAGTAAATTATAGTAAAAAGTAAAAAGTGCAGTTAAAATAGCACGCGTGAAACGCGCGTCTATAATGCTAGTATGATTAAAAAATATATAAGTGCATCGAGAAAACTAATTGGCATTATGAAAACAAAAGAAGAAGTATTTTCTGTCTTGTAACAGTGAATTTCTAATCGCCACATTAAACAACGCCGAGAATTAAGTTCTCGACAAACGAAACATAATATCAAATTAATTTTATAATAAAGCAGTACTTACATTATAAGAAGCAGCGATAAATTAGCAGTAAAAACTGTTAGAACGTAAAAAAAGCGTAACAAATAAAAACTTGCGTCTTTCGCTTGTCGCCTTCACAAATCCAACAGTGCTACCAACAGTGCTATATATATGTAATGCCCAACGACATATATATATATACAGGGTGTCCCGTAAAGACCGGACCAACGCTTAAGGGTAGATTCCTGAAATCATTTTAAGACAAAAGTTTCAATACCAAAATTTTGAGGGTATAATAGTTTTTGAATTATAAATGTTTAAAGTTAACTAATCAGATCGTCTAAAGTTGGCGCGCTCAGGTACGGCACAACGCAAAGTCCTAAAAACAAAAGCTGACTTATCGTTCCTTTTATTATATATCGATATAAGGATTACATATGTGATGCGACGTGACGTTTTTCTGATCGTCCGTCACAAGGGTCGCAACACCCGACCGAAGAAGAGCGGTTTCGGATCCTGCGTCCTCCCCGATTTAGGGAGGCGAGCGTATCCGCGCGCATTGCGTTTTCAATTTTATTACCGCGCGCTTTATGTAACCTTTTCTTTCCTCGTGAGCGTAACTGTAGGAATAAATCGGCGACATAAGGAAATCGTCTACACCAAGCGGCGAGAGGGAGAGAGACATCGGCCTCGGAACGTCTGGCTCACCGCGGGAGAAACGGAGCACGCAGGTCAGATAATATAGTTCCTACGAACGCTAGCTCCATCTTCTCTATTACGAGCTTGTTACTGTCGCCGATTAATTTCAGCAATCCGAGAGTAAATACGGAGGCAATGGACTCGCACGATCTGGCCAGGATCGGGTTGCCGACGGCGAATGGTACGGAAGCGAGACGAGCGAGCAGAGTCGACGCCAGGGCCCGATGAGAGACACGAGCCTAATTTAAAGTCCGCGCTGCCGGCTGCGAGCCAGCTGATCACGTGCGACACCGCGATTCGCGGGCGTCGCGCTCGCAGGGCAAGGGCCAATCGGCACACTATCAGCCGATCGCGTGACCCCCTGCTGCCTGCGTGCTGCCGGAAGGACCGTCGAGCGACACTTGTGCTGTGGTCGCGCGTGGGATAGGACGCAGGATCCCGTATTGTTGCCGAGTGCGAGAAACTTTGAGGGAGAACATCCCCCGTAGCTGCCGTTCTTGGTGAAACGAACGTTAGCGATTACAATTGTCAGCCGCCGGTTTCATTGTCGGGCGGGTCGCGCTATTTCAGTTTCGTTGTCCGGTAAATGTATGTTCGTGTGTAGAGTCCGCGTGTGCCATCCGCCCGGCATAGAGTTACGCGAATCGAGTAGAGTATTTTGCGCTCTCCTTGCCACAGCCGGGTCACTTGTGCGTTAATTACGTGTTATTTTGTGTTTCTTGCGCGTTATTTAGTGTTCGGATTATTGCGTGCTTGCGTGCCGAATGTCGGCAGTACTTAGAGTTATCGCGACGCCACGTGGCGTGTGATCCGTAGTACGCCGTGCGAGGCGTACTCGCGTACAGCGGCGAGATATTTTCGCGGATTTAAAGTAGCGTCAGGACGAGAGCTCGTACACCCGTCATCTCCGGGAGCGTTCCCGGACGTGTGAATCGCGACCTCGGCGATACCGCCGACGGCTGCCGCGGCGTTAGTCGCGGCCGAACAAATCGCCTGTAAACTGCAGCACACGCAAATATATTTGTTAATCATTGTTACTGTTACCGAAATTCGGAGTGTTTTATCTCGCCCTTGCTCTTCCACATTCCTCCGCACCCTACGAACCGCCCCTCTACCGCGTTCTAGATTTCAATTCCGCGTGATAATTCGAAGGGTGGCACGCCCGCTCGTGCCTGGCGCCCAACTTCGCGTTTTTCGGATGCTGCGTAATTGCGAGTTACGGTACTCGTTGCCTTTAGCCGGATCTTGTAGTCCGACACTTGAGAAAGTGCGGTCACAAATTTGGCGCCCAACGTGGGGCCCACGGAAAATTAAAGATCGTCCCTGTGGAGCGAAGAGCAAGGAAGCGTGCATATATTCTTGCGTGTGCTGTACTGCTATTCTTTATGCCATTGCAGCGAATTTATTTTATGCTTGCTTGTATTTTGATTATGCTTTCTGTGTCTGTGTTAATATTCGCTTTCTTTCAGCAGTGTATTGTGCGTGTCGCGAATATTAGATTTCGATAATTGCGAGGAACCTGAAACTTCGTGCAAAATTCTAAGAGTAAATTCGCGTGCATTATTTCGGGAGTGTGCTTGTCGTTTTCAACAGTGGCTCTCGCATTCCATTCGCGAAGTACAGCTGTCGGTCATTTCTTTTTAGTTGTTTTCGACGCGAACGAGTAATTGTTTACATTCGCGCTGTTGCCGGAATCTTTCTGTGTCCTTCGTGCTGCCGCTTAGCTGCGTGCCATTAGAGTTCGGTAATTATTATTTCACGTGTTGTTTTCGTGACGCGGTTAGTGTTTTGCGCGGTAATTCCGACCACGTGTGAGGAGTGACCTTGGGAAGAGGGGAGAGTCTTCGGCGTGCGCGTGTACTGACGCGTGGCCGCGAGTCCCCTGAATTTTTTTTGCTTTTTCTTTTCGGTTTCCGCCAACGACATCATGTCGGAAGGGCGATCGCGATTTAGCTGGATTTATAGGTTGCCGGTAGATCAGGCGCGAGAGGAATTGACGCTACGAGAGCTAAGTCTTGAGGGGGATTTACACGAGATGCGGCACCGACTTTTGCGATACGAATTAGAGAGGCCGTCGGAACCGAGCGGAGCCGTCGGGAACGCGCCCTTGTTGCTGCCCCCGGCGGAGCTGGAAATCATCCGACCCGATAGTCCCGGCCAAGCGATGGCCGATTTTGACGCGATTCCCGGTGATATATTGCGGCTCTGCGAGACCCCCGTGCGCGCGACAACACCGTTGTTTCCTAGGGGAGACGGATGTCTGCCGTCTCCCTCGCGTGACGGATACCGTACCCCGCTTCAGTCGCCGGACGGGCCCGGCGCGGCCGGACCTCCGCGCACCCCCGTCTCAGAAGTTTTTAATATGCTGCGGAAATGGAACTTAACGTTTTCGGGCGCTCGCGGAAGCGGGGCAGACTCGTTCTTTATCCGATTAGAGGAGGGACGTGCTTTGTACGCGGTCGAGGATGCCGATCTTTTCCTTTCTTTTTAACGGACACCGCATTGTACTGGTTTCAGAATCGGCGCGCCGAGTAGCAAAATTGGGACGATTTCGCGGCGGCGTGGCGTAGTCGCTTTAGTAATTCGGATTATCAGTACGCCCTGCGCGATGAAATACTGCGTCGAACGCAGGGAGAAGACGAAACGATTTTCGACTATATAACGTGCATGCAATCGTTGTTCGATCGCCAGAGTCCATCGTGGGCTTTGGAGGCGCAGTTGGATCATGTATACCGTAGCTTGCTGCCGCGGATACAGGGATCCATACGACGACACGAGTTTCAAAGTTTCGCTTCTCTCGAGTTGATAGCATCGCGTTTAGAGATCGTACAGAACGCCGCGACGCGATATCGCGCACCGCCGCCGCCGGAAAAGTCCATACATCCGGAATTAGCGTACAAGCCCAA